CAAATACTGCAAATGAAAAACGAAAAGTAACGACAAATAATCCAGCAGAAAAGACAAAAAAGCTCACGTTTCCCTAACCGCGCTTCAAAAAAAAGAAATCTGTGAACATCTCGAAACTGACAAGACACTGAAGCAAAAAGATATTGCCGTTGAGTATGGAATATCAAAGTAAACCGTTTCTGATATTGTCAAAGCAAAAAAACAGTGGTTAAAAATTGAATCAGGAACGGCTTTAGCCAGCTCCAAGCATGCTCAAAAAGCAACATTTGAAGATATTGAAGAAGCAATGAAAATTTGGGTGGAAAATATACTAGTACAAAATGACTTGAACTTGAGTGACAGTTTGCTAATGGAAAAAGTCTTGGTATTTGCCAAAGAATTCGAGGTTTCTGACAAGCTTCTAGCTTCTACAGGTTGGACCAAGAATTTCAAAAGACGGAATAATTTAAAATCTTACAAAAAACGTGGTGAATCGGGTAGTGTTGATATGAACGAAATTCCAAGATTCCGTGAATAACTTCAAGACATAATCAAAGAATATGAACCTAAAAATATATTTGGCTGTGGTGAGACAGCATTCTATTGAATGCTTGAACCTAATCGAACTCTAGCATATGGTCAGTTAAAGGAAAGAAGAAAAGACTGAATATCATTGCTGGTGACGACAAATGTAATGGGAGACGAAAAATTACCAAATTTATTTATCCATAAGTATGAAACACCTTGTGTTCTCAAAGGAATTACTAAACCTACACTTCCAGTGTGGAATACAAAAGCATGGATGCAAAAATCTATTTTTAGATCTTACCTTAGTCAGTTTAATTCAATGATGTGCATTACCAATTGAAAAATTCTTTTAATGGATAATGCGACGTGTCATCAAGCAATATCAATGAATTGTCAAATATCCAGGTTTATTTTTTATCTCCTAATACCACTTCGATTATTCAACCTATGGATCAAGGAATATTGTACAGTTTGAAGGTTAGTAATGTTTGTTATAATGTTTATTATTAATACGATTTATTAATTAAGGCACAATATAGAAAGATTTTATGCTTTGAAAAAATTGCTGCCTATGAAAAATTAACTGATCAAGAAAGCGAGCTTCCAAAGATTTCAATCTATGATGCCATTTTATATATCAATCATGCATGGGATATTGTCACAAAAGAGACAATTCAGCAAAGTTGGATGCGGTCTGGTATTCTTCCACCTTCCTTTTCATTACGTGAATTCTCAGCTTTCAATGAAGAAGAAGTTGAGGTTATCGATCTAAGAGAAAACGAATCACAAAAATTAGAGCATGAATTAGATCAACTAATTCAACAACTTCCTATTACAGATATACTTTCTGCACATGAATTTATATCCATTGATGATAATATTGAGCAAGAAAAGTCAGTATAGGAGAAATTGTTGATGTGGTACTTAAAAAAGGATTAGAGGATAATGACGAAAAAGAAAAAATTTCTCTTAGTGAAGCGTTGGATAGTATTGAAGCTCTTATTACATTTATTAAGCAATCTGAATGGGGTGTTGACGCGAATTTTTATTATAATTTAGTTAAATTACAAGGAATTTGTTATCCAAGGTATAGCCCAGAAAAAACAAACTAGTATTGATCAATTTTTCATTAATTCTTAATTATTACAATTTAATAAATATCTAGTAATTTGGATTGGTATAACTGATTTTTTTTCTTTTATAATAAGTCCGGTATAACAAAAATTTTTGATTGATCGGATTCGTCGATATATCGGACCAAATAGTGGGAACCGAGTGTTCCGTTATATCGACGTTGACTGTGTATGCATTAACAATAATACATGTAATACAAAAGTCTTGAACAGTTCCTTATCGTTATTACTATTTTTTTTGCTTCCATATTAGATTAACATATTGACGTTAACGTTAATGTTTTTTGACATTCGTGATTAATTCATAAAGTGAGTATTTATTTAAAGGCTCTTTTATACTAAGCTATAATTAAATTCACAGGTAAAAAACTACAGTGAGGGTCACTTAGTCACCACACAAAAAAGTTAACTTCAAATTATATTAGAGCCCTCAAAATAATCCAGAAAAATTAGAAAATACGTAAATCAATAGTTTATTGACTAGTCTATAATATTACGTATTTTTTTGACTGGAAAAGTTCAGATTGTTGAGTTAATAGGTCTTAAAGATTTGGCAATTGTGGCAACTAAGTGACCTGCACTGTATGATTATGAAAAAGGACACTGACGAAACTAATGGCTTTGTCTTATATACATGTAATAGCGGTCTCAAAAATTATTACTAAACAATACTCGTTTTCTTACCTACCACACATATTACAAAGAAACTTTTTATTTGCAAT